AGGTTGAGAACCACTGCTCTAGAGAGAAGACCGAGTGATCCTAAAAATATTAAATCAGAATCACCTTCCTCCCCTACTCAAAACTTGTCACTCTCTTCCCCTTGCCCTGGATTAAAATCCTAGCTCCCCAACTTGGCTTCTGAGTCTTGCATGTCCTGACTATAAACTCAAGTGACACTAGCCGCCCTTCAGCTCTTCAGACACACGAGTTCTCCCCTGTCTTGGGACCTTTGCACGTGCCCCTACCACCAAAAGACGACAGCAAGACAGAGCAAGGCAGAGCGTGATGCTTCTCTTTGCTGGCTCCATCACCTGCTCCAGCGGGCTCCATCACCTCCTCAGCAAGACCCTCCCTCTAACGCAGGTCTCCCAAGCACCCCCTTGGCATGGTTTTCTTGAAGGAGTTACCCCCAAGTTGTGAATCCAACAGATGAGCTCCTCATCAGCCATCACAACTTACCTGAGAGCCCGCGTGTCATTCCAGATTGCCCTTGCCTGGCCTGCCTGACCCAACTGCACCTCAGTAATGGTCACGCCAAACCATCCTGGTCTACTTTGCACGCCCCCCCCCCCCGCCCCGAGCTCCATCAGGGAGGGACTGTGTCCATCTCACCCCTCATTATACTATTGGCACCTGGCACACAGTAGGTCCCAACAAAATATTCGTCAAATGAATGAGTCATGAGGTCTGAAAGGCATTTAAAGTTTGGAGCAAACTTTCTTCCAAGACTAAATGACATTCAGGACAGAAAAAAAAGAAAAGAAAAAAAGTTGAATGTGATATATGCTTAAGATTTTAAATCTTATATTTGAAGGAACAGAATGAAATGATCTTGTATTTGTTTTATTTTCACATAAAGAGGAGCATAAAACCACTAGGCCTGCACAAAAAGATTAAGTTTCATAGTGTGGCAAATAAAAAAGAGAAGGGTGGGGACGGATGATTGAGGGGGGAAGGGAGCCGTGGTTCAGTTCAAAAATAGAAACAGATGGCGAGATAAAGAGAGAGACAGAGATCAAGAGAATAACCAGCAGAAGGTTCTAGCAAGGTACAAACGGGGGCTTCATTGCTCTTCTGGGAACACGGGGGTAGCCTCCAGATTTCAAAAGGGGTTTTCGCACCTACTTAAAGTGTAAGATCACTTGTTTCTTAAGGTCTCTCTCTTCTTCATTTTTCAAAGAAAAAATTTAAAAACCCGACTACCTACGCTAAAAATCGGGGGTTCGCACGTTTCATTTTTGAAGAGCACACAAACTATGCAAATGAACGAAGACACTTCGCTTTGTGTTTTCTGAGGGTATGGCTACAAACTTTTCAGTCATACACTGAGTTTTCAAAGTCATGAGCAAGAATAAGAACGATCCTTGGGGGCTGTTGGAAGGAGGGGTGTGACCTTCAAGTGCTCTATAGCCGAGTCTTTTGAACTGCACATCCAGCCCGTTCTCTTCTCTGGAAATACCCACAGCCCCAGCCATGATGACTGAGTGAGCAGAGGTGAGCACCGTACGTGGCCGGACCTCACTGGCCAAGCTAACTGGACCAGTGGACGGCACCCGTCCCAACCAAGGCCCATTAGAACTTCCCTGAGAATCAGGGTTTGGACTCCCATGAGCTGGTGAGGCGGGTGAAATCGGAACAGCATATACAATTCATAGGCGGGGAGCGTGGGCAATTTCCCACCGGGCTTTCTCGGCCTGGTGAGGGTGACAGGCAGGAAAGCTGGTCTGCAAAGAGACGCAGAAGAGCAGGAAAGTGGTGCAGCAGGTGGAGCCAGACCCCAGGGTCCAAATCCAACATCCACCACTCAGTAACTGCGACCTTGAATGAGTTCCTTGACATCTCCTTGACCTGACTGCAACCTGCTCCATGGGGCTCTGGTGAAGGTTAAATAAGTTGACGTACACAGCACTTGGGACAGATTCTGACATGCGGTAAGTGCTCACTAAGAGTTTACTGTTATTACTATCTTGCTCAACTGTAAGCTCGTGAGGGTGAGGACTTCTGGCTGTTTTGTTCACACCCTGTCCCAGAATCTAGAACGGTGTCTGGTACATAGTAGCGCTCAACAAACATCTCTTGAGTGATCAGAGGATGAAGAAGCCCCGAAAGGATAGAGCCCCCTAACTCTTCTCCTTATCTCAGCTACTACCCCCACAGGAGCAATCAGAGTGGGGTCTTATCAAAGCCTACGTCAGACCATGCTTCTTTCCTGCTTTTCACAAACTCTCTGTGACTATCCAGGCCTTGCATGCTCTGCCTCTCTCCACTCTCTCTCTCTAGCCCCTCAGACTCCAGTTACACTGGCCTCTGATGGTCCTCTGATGGGGTTCCTTCTGCTCCTTCTGCCTCTGGGCATTTGCACATGCTGTTCCCCCTACAGCTCTTCCTCAGGGAAATCTTAACAGATGTTCTTCCCACTTACATTGGCTCCTCCACCCAGAGCCCCACACTTTTCTTTCAGGCCACTTGCCACAGTTTCTAATTTTATCATTTGTGTGATTAGTCATTGACTCTTCCCCTCTAGAACCTGAGCTCATGATTAAAGAGATCATAACTTCTGTTTTATTCTTCACTGCATTTCAGTATCAGGTGCCCAACAAATGCTTGCAGAATGAACTCATTTGTTGAATGGATTGACTAAGTGAAGAAGTAAGACTTAGAGGGTGATTTCCCAAGTCTGGGTTCTTCTTGAGTTGAATCTACTGACCTGGTTTTGTGCAATAGCCCCATAGCCTCCTCATACAATCCCCTTTTCCTAACGTGTTCTGAATGAGTTTCCCTATTCCTACCAAAGGCTTTGACTCCAACACACAGACTAATGCCCTCCTCCAAGCCAGGAGGTTCCCATCCTAAAATAAGGACGCCTTTAGAGGAAGATAACAAAATCCAGAGTCTCTACAATGTCTGGTATATGTTATCATTGCAATGTCAAAATACAATCAACAATTACTAGACATGCAAAGAAAGAGGAAAATGTGACTTGTGGTCAAGGAAAAGAAGCAATGAATAGAAACAGATCCCAAGATGTCTGTGAAGTCAGATTTAGAATAAGCAGCTGCCAGGATTTAAAAGCTCCTAATCTATAATAATAAAAGCATAATATGCTAATTAGACCAGATGGCCAAACAGCAGAATGACTGTCTGGACGATCTTCTGGATGAAGCTGGGGCTGCGAGGGCCAAGCCCCTTGCATGAATTTTGTGCATTGGGCCTCTAGTCTATATAATAAAAGCCTAAGCGACCGTCACATCCGAAACAACCAAACAGACGACCGAGCAGGCTGCATGGGGCAACCAGGTTGGCAGGGGAGGGCAGTTGGGGGCCATGAGGCTGGCAGAGGAGGGCAGTTGGGGGCCATGAGGCTGGCAGGGAAGGGCAGTTGGGGGAGATCAGGCCAGCTGGGGAGGGCAGTTGGTGGCGAGAAGGCCGGGGGGCGGGGCAGAGGGCTGTTGGAGGTGAGCAGGCCAGCAGGCAGAGTGGTTAGGGGGCGATCAGGCAGGCAGGCAGGTGAGCAGTTAGGAGTCAATGGTCCCAGATGGTGAGAGGGATGTCTGACTGCTGGTTTAGGCCCGATCCCACAGGGACCGGGCCTAAAGCGGCAGTCGGACATCCCCGAGGGGTCCCAGATTGGAGAGGGTGCAGGCTAGGCTGGGGGACACCCTCCCCCACCCCCACCCCCGGCACAAATTTTATGCACCTGGCCACTAGTATTATCATAAAAGTCCTTAACCAGGTGTATAGAGCCAAAGGGTCTGTCAAGATTTTAGGGTTTGTGGTTTGTTATCTGAACTCTACTCATGTCATGTAGCTTCTAATTAAGTAGTTTTAGGTGCTACTCAAGAATCTGTATTTTTAACAACTCTAGAGAGTTCTGATGTACACTGCATCGGATTCCTATCATATATAGAATCCTTACCATATAATACTTACACTTTAAGGCAAATGCCCAAAAAAAAGTTAAATTAATTTAAATGTATTGAAAGTCTGGTTGGGTTGGTTGGTGGGCAGTAGTCAGCAGTTGCTGGTTAACCAGACAATAAAATTAAGAATATTTCAACCCTAAACATTTTGGAGAAGAAAGAACACTGTACTTATTTTGAGAAGAAAAAAAAAAGATCTGAGGTTGAAGTAAAAGCCACAGACATAAAAGATAACTACTAAGAAAAAACAGGAGGAAATGCTCATGGTACAAAGTAAAAAAAAAAAAAAAAAATTAAAATCAGAGTACAAACTACTAAAACATCAAGTATATAAATGTACAGTAGTAGATATTGCCATGCTTGTGAATAGACAAAAGGCAAGAGAAAATATATCAAAATGTTAATAACAGTTATTTTAGGTACTTTGACTATGCATAGTTTTTGTTTGTTTGTTTGTTTGTTTTAATTGATTTCAGAGAGGAAGGGAGGGGGGAGAGAGAGATAGAAACATCATTGATGAGGGACAATCATTGATCAGCTGCCTCCTGCATGCCCCCTACTGGGGATCAAGCCTGCAACCTGGGCATGTGCCCTTGACCAGAATCAAACCAGGACCCCTTCAGTCTGCAGGCTGACGCTCTATCCACTGACCCAAACCAATGAGGGCTGACTATGCATAGTTTAATATGTTCCTACTTTCCTATATTTTACGAGAGTATATTGACTTTCCTCTATACATGCTCATCTAAAATTTAAACACAAAATGATGGCTTCAGAAACCTTCTGTCAGTACACACACATCTGCAGAACTCTAGCAGTTTTTCGCTCAGAAAGAGGAGGGAATACGTAGCTGGGGCATGAATGTCATTTCTATCCTTATCCAGCTCAAGAAGACTTTCTTCTCTGGCATCTTAGTAGCTGATTCGTTTCAGATACTGATTCGATCTTAAATGCCCCATCCCTCAGAGGAGTAAGAGACTGAGTCACCGACCTCAACCTGACAAGCCACAGGCAGTGGTTTAGCAGAAGTAAATCACCTAGTAACAAATAAATAAAATAAAAATAATTCAAGTCCATACCTGAACCACAGGGTGGCCACCAGTTGGAGCTTTGACAGCCCCTCGGCTGCCTTCTGTCTCATAGTGGGCCCGGTGATGTGGTTTGGGCTGCACCTCAATCCGAAGCTCATAGGAGCCTGACTGGTGGGAGAGTGGCCATTCGAGTGGAGGAAGGGATGCAGTCACTGGGATACTGAAGGAGGAAACAGAAACAGTCGTATGTACAATAAATCAGAATCAGGTAACCTGTACAATAACCGTAAATGGTTCATTTTCTGAAAATCATGTCCAATGAGCATAAGAATAAAACGCCGGCTGTTGGGAGGCACATATTTCTCAGGCATGATAGGTGGGGCTCTTCACAAGATGGAGATCTTTTTGCTTCCTCGTTCATCTTGATAAAGACAGTGTGACTGACAACTTAATTCATGAAGCTAATTTCACGGTATGTTAGCTCTAGCGTGTTTCTAACTGCCGGACCTTCTTTTTCTCTGGGAATTTTGAAGAATATCATCTATGTATGATGATCTCAATTAAAAGTAAACTTTAGAGAGAGGAGAGTTCCAGTCACAGTTATTATTTATCATGTCAAGTATAAAACATCCAACCACAGAGAGGTGTCTGGTTTTGGTAGGAATGAGCCAAACCACTCAGACTCCCTCATATTAAATGAAGAGTAAAAGGTCAAGATCATGACTGCAGTTACACACCCAAGTTTAAGTCTCAGCACCACCTCTAACTACCTGTGTGACAGAGCAAATGCCTCTACCTGCCTAGTCCTTAATTTTCTCAACAGTGAAATGGGGATACAGAGATTATATAAAAGATCCTATCACAATACTAGTACATGCTCCAAAATTATTAGCTATAATTTTCCTGTACATATTGTATATTTCAAATAAGTAGTTATTTCCTATAGACAATCTGAGTTAGTTACAATATTAGATATGCATGCCTTTACATCTGAGGCTGTAAGTTCTTTGAGGGCATGCCATTAAGTTTCATGTCATAATAGAATCTCAACCCTATTCAGGACCCACAGCAGGCACTGGATATGCGATTAGAATTATGACATTTAAGAGCTGACTGAGGTCTTGACAATCTATCTAGACTATTCATTCCTTCAGAGCCTCAGAGAACCTCACTACATTTTTCCAAGATCACAGAGCAAGACACAGTCAGGGCTCCAACTTATGTTTCTTGACTCCCAGTCCCGGGCTCCATCCACAACTCCATACTGCCTCTTTATCTTACTAATTTATTTAAAATCAGTCCAAGAAATTACCTCATTTATGGAGTGACTCTAGAACAATGCCTGGCATTTGATAGGTTCCCAGTGAATATGCAGTGGGTGGGTGGGTGGATGCACGGATGGATGGATGAGTGAATGAGCAATTTTATTTCAAAGAATCTCTGTATATTCGCTGTAGCTTTGAAGTTGCAAGTGCATGGATTTGTGTCACTATGTCCTGATTTTTTACATATGGCAGAAATCAGCAATCCAATCAGGCTATGCTTTCCCATGAAGCCTAGAGCCATAGAAGCTGACATTATCCACTTGACTTAGTTAAGTGCTTGCAATGAAGCTAATTCCATCCCTTCTCTATCAGAGGCATATCAAGGGGAGAACGAAAGGGGATGGTAACCTATAAACTCCAGCAGTGCTATAGTCCTACTTGAACTTTCAATCCAATTACAATTATATCTTTACTCCACAAGCAAATCACCATTCCTTCATTCCCACCACGCTGTCCCCTGACGCCCCTCTTACCCTGAAGTCTTGGGGTGCCTACAATGCCTTTAATTCTATCTTAGTTACATGCCAACATGCCTTCAAGCTGCTGCCTGCAACCAAGGTGCCACTGACATTAAATACTCCTACTCTCATCATCTATGCAAGTTAAAAAAAATTAAGTTTGCAAAATAAGGTTCATAAAAAAATCACTTCACCCCCGTGTCTCTTGAAGTATTAAAAATTTAGTGAGTGGGAGATTCAGTGGGATGTCTGTAAGCATCAATATCAAATTTTGTTTGTTCTGGAATAAGACTTTGACAGCTGAAATAAAATATTAAGAGTCAGACCACTGAGGTCAGTCTGAGATCCTGCATTGGAATTCCAGCCCTCGGCTGGTGAGCTGTCCACACACCTTTGAGCAGATATTATCATGAGATCTCCTGAATGCCCCCATCCTCTCAATCTGATAGAAAATTCTTACCAATATCCCCTTGGCTGGCACAGACTGACACCTGGTAGGGGACAAAGGATTCTAACACCTCTCAGATCAAGCCACAGAATGGAGAGGGAAGGATTTCACAAAATAAACAATAAAGTCTCACATAAATGTATTACAACCATATTTCATACTAATGCTCCTCCCCATTGCCAGTCATTAGAGAGGCCGTGTTTTGGAGATTGATCTGTAGCAGAAAGGACGAGGAGTCAGGCATCCTGGACTCCAAGTTCCAACGTGGTCATGACTGTGTGATCACGTGCATGTCGTGTCACCTGTCTGCGCCCTGGTTTCTCAACCTGTGCCAGGGGTTGGTCTTGATCACCGCGTCCTAAGGTAGCTCTGTGAAACCTGAGCCACAGGACTCAGAACTCGGCAGCCAAATGAGCTTCGAAATCACTGCGCATTCTGCCCACAGCTGGAGGCGGGGGGGGGGGGGGTCCCCTGCACATAGGCACCTGTTTAACCCTACTGAACCCAGACATTCCTTTCCTTAAGGGACATCGGCCGACCTACTATGGCAGTGGTGCTCTCAGTCAGACTGGAAGCTTTACAGGGTCTGGTGTGGGGTTAAGTTAATGGGCAGAGTCCTTGGCTATCTCAACCCCACATCAATCAAAACCCTCTCTCTCTACCATTATCTATTTTGGTATTCAATATTTTATTTGGGGAAAAAAAGGGGAGGTTCCATATGCTAAAATCAAATGATAGGTTGAAAACCACTAGGATATGATAAGTGCATAACGCTTCAGATTATTCATCTAATACCACAGATAGAATAATATCTGCCCCTGACCGTGTGCCCCATTTTTCTTGTCATCAAAATAAAAATAATACGAAACCAGATTTATGTGAGAATTAAATGTAGTCATACATAGAGATACTTAGAATTATGCCTGGAACAGAGTCCTTAAATATTGGTGATTATTGTGGTCCCTATCAGGACTCTGAAGCTATTGGGAGCTCAGTCTCCTAGCACAGAGCTTGTCTTTTCCTCTAGAAGACAAAGATTACCCTATGACAATAACGCTGCACTGTTTCTGAGCTCTTACTTTGTGCAGATTCTATGCCAAGAGCTTGATAAATATGATCTCACCTAACCCTTAAAATAAAACACCATGAGATAAGTTACTATTATCATTCTCACCTCACAGGAGGAACCAAGGCCCAGAAAGGTGCTCAGTGAGAATGAAGGTCTTGATTGATTAGTGATGTCTGCCCTGGGCATGACATGAAAAAAATGCTCAGTGAGAAAGATGGTCCTGCAGGATTGGTGATGTCTGATGGGTTCAGTAGGATGGCAGTACCAGAGATGCCCATGATCACACAGCCAGTAAATGACAGAGCCAGGACTCAAATCCAGTCCTAAGAGAGTCCAAAGCTTACAGGCTGCTATCTACAACTCTTCAGCTTATCAAGATTTTTAAACTCCTAAGGAGTAGGGCTCACCTATTTTTTAGGGTTTCCCTATCACTGATTGCAGTCCTGTGGTACATAGCAGATGTCAAATAAGACATCTACACTGATAAAAGAGAAAGATGCAAATTGACTGTACCTTCATGACACCCACCAGCCAACCAGGAGTGGGTATGTAAATTAACCCAACAAAGATGGTGGGTTAATTTGCATACACAGGTGCCGACAGGCCCGGGGTCAGGGCAGGGCAGGACGCTTGCATTGTCGCTATGGCAACAATGCAGGTGTTCCAGCTGCCCCAGCCGCTCTGGGCCTCTGGGCAGTGTGGGAAGGCAGAAAGGCGGCTCCAGGCCAGAGGGCAGAGGAAAGGCGGTGCCAGCAGCCAGGGGAAGGAAGGCCCATTCTTGCACGAATCTTCGTGCATCGGGCCTCTAGTCTTTTAATAAGATAGCAAAATGCATACATGAAGACTTGCTTTCTGCTTGTGAGAATGCCAGCTCCATAAAGGCAGACATTTCTGCCCACTTTTTTCATCACTGTCTCTCCAACACCTATAACAGTGTCTGGCACCTGGCAGGTGCTTGATAAATACTTGTTAAGTAAATGAATGAATGATGAGCCAAGTGCCACATGAGCAATCACATGCATCCTATTACTACACCCTCAAAATCACCACCCAGTAAGTCATGTACACCTATACCCATTTTATAGATGGGGAAACCACGGCTCAGAGAATTTAACTTCCTTCTCGGGGTCTCACAGCCGGTAAACGGAGAGCTGGAATTTAAATGTTCAGAGTCTGGCCAACTTTGAACCCCACACTCACAGCCAGAAAACCACCTCTTGACACTAAATCGTGGAACAATTCAGCTTTCAAAGCCCGACTCACCTGCAGATGGGAATAGCGGGCACCAGCGGCTTGGGCCACGTCGGGGGCATCAGCAAGATGGACTCGGGGGCCGAGTTCCTCCTCTCCTCCTGCTCGCAGGGCCCCAGGAACTCCATGGCCGGGTAGATGTGGCGGGGCAGGCCGGCCTTGGGCTGGGCGGCAGACACCGGTGACGGGTCGGGGCTGGTCTTCCACATCTTGGGGGGGATCCCACAAGGCGAGTCCGGGGCGAGGCTGTTCAGAGCATCCATGAGGACGGCAGAGCCAGCCGTTGGGGGGTACCCAGCGGGGGCGCCGTCGTCCTGGGGCTGCGGCGAGGGGCTGCGGGAGTGCTGGGGTGAGGCTCCGGGCAGCGGGGCAACCAAGGCCCCAGCGCACGAATGCCTCCGCTTGGCACCAGGCGACGAGGAGCGGGAGGCCGGACGGGGCACGGGCGAGTGGCGGCCCAGGCAGCTGTCCTCAGCGAGGCTGGTTCGAGGTGACATTATTGGCGAGGTTCTGGGGGAATAATGAGCAGGGATGTTTTGAAACTGGGGACACAGGTCGTCGGGCCCGCCATTATTGGGCGAGACGCAGGGCGAGGTGTAGGGGGAGAAGGTGTCGGAAATGAAGCTGGCAGAGGAGCCGCTGCTAGCGGGGCTCAAGCAAAGCGGCTGCTCGCGGTAGCCCTCGAAGCCGGGCACAGGCAGGGTGAACCTCGGGCTGGCGGTCGCCCCCGCCAGGGGCGCCTGCTCCCCCAGGAGGCCAGTGTCTCTCATGCGGAGGCCCCCCCCTGCCTGCATCAGTTCGTGGGACGGAGTGATCTCGATCCGAGGGCTCAGGCCCGAGGCCCCCGCTGGCTTGGCCGGGCTCAGAAAGTTCTGGGGCCCTACCCTATCCGGCTCTCCGAATCGGCCGGGGGACTCGCCAGAGAGACTGGCGAGGGGGTTGTATGGCTTGAGGCCATAGTCCAGGACATCGTCATGGTATGCAAGTCCGGAGTGTGGGCTGGCGACCTTATGTGTATTCGGTTCTTCTGGAAAGAGAAGGGGGGAGGGGAGGTCTTTTTAAGCCTCTAGAACAGAACTCCCAAAGCAGAGCAATCACAGGCTGGGTTTGTCTCCTGCTGTTTGTTTACTGTTTAAATCCCCACCACGCCAAACCCCAGGCTGGACCCTACTTCCCTCACCAGAAGGAAAGGGGGCTGCTTTATCCCAGGCTCCGTGAGGGGCACGGTCACAGCAGAAAGGTTTGAGGGCAGGTGCACCGAGCATGGCCCGGCCAAGCTGGGAAGCGTCAGCTGGAGGCCTGGATGGCCACCTGGCTAATGACTTCCAAACCCTTGTCTCAATGGGGCCGTCAGAAGAAATGCATTTTATTTCACAACCTAGCTCACGCCGTCATATTCACTCCCAACTGAAACACAGGCTTCGCAACACAATACTTACCCTGCTACATGCGACACCCTCATCACACACACTCACACTCACACACACACACACACACACACACACACACACAACTGAGGTTACTTTTCTTACAGGCTGGTCACAACCCATTCAACAGGCTTACTGTCCCACCAGTGGGCTATGACACCCAATTTGAAAACCTCGGACCTAGGCCCACCTCATAGCTCTACGTGTCTGACACAGATACGGGAGACAGAGGGAGGATGCACGGGCCTGGAGTGCATGGAGCTCTGGGGTCAAACCTCAAATATCCATGCTCAAGTATAACAAGTAACTTAATTCTGAACCAGAATTTCTGACTCATGTCTTATCTTGTGCCATTTCACAGATAAGGAAACTGAGGCCCTGGGAGGGGAAGAGATTCACCCTAAACCACAGAATTAGCAGGATTAGAAATCCCACAGACAAACCACTTGGCCCCCAAAGGCAAGGCTCTGGCTAAAGTGTCTTCCAAACTATCACGCCAGTAGCTAGAGACACCCTAATTGCTTCTCTCATAGTAGCCGTCTAGCGCAGGCTGCTGCTGCCACCTCAAAAGGCCCCACGGCTGGAGACTGGAACTAGCAAGGGAACCAGCTATCCATTCCTGCCACCCCTCACCCATTCCTCCTCCAATCTGCCCAGCTCAGCACAGGCCCCTCCATTCAGCCTGGACTCCTCTCTGCCACACCCTGACGTCCAAGCCATCAGGAAATCCTGACCGCCACTGTTGATTATAAACCAAATTCATGTGTCACCCCTTCCCCACTACAGCCACTCCGGTCCAAGCTACTGTCCTCTCCCATCTGGGCCACTGTAGCGGCCTCTTCCTGGCCTCCCGATTTCCAGCCTTGCTCTGTGTGGTCTGTTCCCCACACTGCAATCTTTTGAAACATCCATTTCTGAAATCCACTTTAAAGGCTTTCCCGGACATTATACTAGTAGATGTGATCTAAACTTCTTAACACACCTGTCCTCGGGCCCTGGCTTGTCTTGCCCCTCCCACCTGTCCCCTCTTCTCCCCAACCTGACTCAGCAACAGCCCAGGGACTCCTGGCTTTCCATCAAGCAGGGTCTGCCTCTGAGTTCCTGAGTGCATTTCTCCCTCTGCCTGGAAATTCTCCCCCCCCCCCCCCAAGGTCTTTACTTGGCCCCTTCCCTGATTCCTTCACGTGCCTGCTCAGCCAAGACCTCCTTAGATTGGCCCATCAAAAAGAGCATCTCTATCCTCACCCCGGTGTCTTGCTCCACCCCTTCTCCCTGACATCTTTTTCCATTGGCACCAGCTACCAGCTCACATCACATCAGATATTTATCTGTTTAGGGAATTCCATCCCACTAGATCAGGGGTAGGCAAACTACAGCCCCTGGGCCAAATCCGGCCCACAGATTGTGTTTATAAATAAAGTTTTATTGGAACACAGCCGCTCCTCTATTTGTTTGCGTATGGTCTATATCTTGCTTTTGCACTATAACAGCAGAGTTGGTAGCCGAGATGGAGACCATATGGCCCACAAAGCCTAAAGAATCCACTATAGAAGTTTGTGACTCTGCACTAGGGTCTATACTCCACTGAGGTTGGAACCATGTCTATTATCATTCAGCATTGTTTGCCAAGCACCTAGCACAGGCACTAGAGATTGTCCATACACTTTTTTTGAGTGACAGAGCAAATAAGTAAGTGAAAATATGTATGTCCAAGGGCCTGCCAGGCAGACATGAGGTCTCTTCCTAAAGTTGTGTGGCTGGCCCGTTTTGGGGAGTAGGGTGGCTGCACAAATGACTTTTAACCTCCTTGGTTCCCCTTCCGGGCCATCCTGGAGATGCTGCCGGGCTTAGCAGAGCTATCTTATAGGGTCCAGACGGTGCCCCCCACCCCCAGGTGAGAGCTCAGAAATGGCTTCCCACAGCTCTTAGGGGAGAGGTGGGGAGCCTTGTTTCTGCCAAGGGCCGTTTGAATTTTTTTAAAGTATGTTTTTATTGATTTCAGAGAGGAAGGAAGAGGTAGAGAGAGAAACATCAATGATGAGAGAGAATCATCGAACGGCTGCCTCCTTCATGCCCCCTACTGGAGATTGAACCCACAACCCAGGCATGTGCTCTGGACCGGAATCGACCCTGGGACCCTTCAGTCTACAGGCTGATGCTCTATCCACTGAGCCAAACCAGCGAGGGCCATTTGGATATTTATAACATCATTCGCGGGCCATACAAAATTATCAACTTAAAAACTAGCCTGCTATATTTGGCCAAACATTTAATTAACTCACCCCTAATGCTTTGGCTGGGCCAGACCAAATGATTTCATGGTCCTTATATGGCCCATGGGCCGAGCATTCCCATCCTGTCTTAGGGGAAAGTTAAATAACCTTAACAAGGCCAGACTGGCTGGGCTCTGCCTGCCCCTCTAGCTTAACCTCTCTCACTGGACTCCAGCCAAACTGGCTATCTTCCTGTTCACAGAAAGCATCACACTCCTTTCTGCCGCAGGACCTTTGCACTTGCTGTTCCCTCCACTTCAACTGCTCCTCCCCACTCGTACCCAGGCCCTTCTCCACATAACTAAAGCCACTCATTCCCTCCAGGTAAAGCCTCATGTGCTTGGGCGGGTTTCCCGACCACCCTGACTGCATCAGACCCCATTCATACTTCCCTGCTCTGTTCCATGCACTATCCAATGCATTGCAATTAAGTAATTCTGGGGTTATTCATCTATTGCCAGGCTCTCCCCCAACCTCCAGGCCACCCCCACCAATCAGTCAATTCCGTGAGGACTCTCTCCCTCCCCACTGTATTCCTGGCATGTGGACAGGACCTGCCCACAAAGCAAACCCTCAAAAACAAAAAACAAACAAACAAAAAACTATTTGTTGGTTGGGTGAACAAGTAAATAAGAGTGAGCTCAGAAAATCTATGTAAGATTTTTAAACTACTACTCAAAGATGCTAATATCTATATCAAACAATAGAAAGGTGTAACCTTGAAGAAGGTAATTTAAAACGGGATGAAGCCTGGCTGGGTGACTCAGTTGGTGGGAGTATCATCCCCTACTCGAAAGGCCGCAGGTTCAATTCCCGGTCAGGACACATACCTAGGTTGCAGGCTCTATCCCAGTCAGGATGCATATAGAAAGCAACCAATCAGTGTTTCTCACATTGATGTCTCTCTCTCTCTCTCTCTCTCTCTCTCTCTCTCTCTCTCTCTCTCTCTCTCTCTCTCTCTCTCTCTCTCTCTCTCTCTCTCTCTCTCTCTCTCTCCCTCTCTCTCCCTCCCTCCTCCCCTCCCTCCCTCCCTCTCCTTTGCTCTCTCTAAGCATATCCTCAGGTGAGGATTAAAAACTAATTAAAGAAGATAAAAAGGGATAAAAAAGTTCTTTCTGCATGGAAATGGAATGACTTCAAGATACAGTGTTAAAACAGAAAAGCAAAATGCGTCCAGTGTGCACACACACAAACTGCTGCTGGAAGTCACAGGAAGCAGGGCCTTCCTCCAGCGAGGGGAACCAAGTCGTTCGGCAGCCGTGGCCTAGCAGACAGAGGCCTGGTTTCTGTGTGACCTTGAGAAAAGAGGCACAGTTCCTCAAAGAAACATGTTCTTATTTTACTTAAAGGTGGCCGTGGCATAGCATAATATACAGTAATGACACCTGGTTTAGGAAGCAGGGAGTTGAGAGCTAGTCCTACTCTGCCACTAACGAGCTGTGTGACCCTGGAGAAGTCCCCACCCACCAACTGTACGTCTCCGCCTTCTCATCTGTCACAGGGACCAGTCTCCTTGGTCACTTCTAGCTGTGAAGTCCTCTGGCTGTTCTAGCTGAATCTGCAGGGTCTAGAGTTCTTGCGAAGCTGCAGATCAACATAGATTTGAATTTGTCCGTGCACGCATACACACACACACACACACACACACACACACACACACTCCTTCCTGGCAGGTAACAGAGCATACACTTTCAACCTACAAAGAGATTAACCTCAAATCCGTAACAACACCCTGATAATCCACCACCCTGCGAACCAGCAAAACAAAACACAAAAGGTCTCTTAGCAAAAATTCCGGCCTTATCAGAAAAACTGTATTACAGCTTATCAGAAACACCCCGGCAGGGCTGCTGTGAAAAGTCATGGAACTCGGCCATGCGAACACACACCACTCACACCCCCCGGCAGCCGCTTAGAACGGAAGGGCTACTTTGCTAAGCAAAAGCCCTGAAAACATTTACATCGGTTTTAATTCATCCAAGCAGCAGTTTCTCTTTCTCTTCTTTTTCTTCCCCCAGATTGTGAAAGTTGAACAGCAAGCAGGAAAAGGAAGGTAACTGATAATCATGAAATCCTCGGTCCTCTGAAGATCAGACAAATGGCTCCTCACTAAAACATGTAAGGAGGTAGGAGCCTTCGCTGCTGCTCTTACACTGCCAGCCTCGCACACCGCTCTCTTTAACTCGCTGTGATCCCCGCGTGGCACTGGGCGAAGCCAGTTTCATCTCAGAACCACCAAGTTTTCTCAGACACGTGGCCAAAAATCTCGCTTTTCTGACACTTGCATAATCTTTGCTGTAGCAATAATGTACCACCGGTAAATATTA